GAGTCGTGATGGCGCCTACTAATAGGAGCTAGGCAAGCCAATTAATGTAACACTTCTCTCAACATCATTAACAGTATAAAGAATAACGAGGCGATTAATATAAAAGCGGAAGTCTCGAAACATAAATAACTGAAACCAAGTGCGGAAATTCAAATACACCTCTACCCAGATCTGGTGTCACTAACTCACGAACTTCTACTGAGTGCTAAAAACAAAGTCTGAATAAGAATACAGTACTGTCTGATCCGATACAAGGGAAATCAAACGAAAGACAGAGATAAGAGAGACTCCGGGCCATGCGGACGCCAGCAAGCTACCTCGGAAATCTCCGGACTGAAGTAAGCTTCCAACGCTCCTACTGCTGACCAAAGGCTCCTGCTCCGGTACTATGATCTGTGCAAAAAGCACAGAAGTGTAGCATCAGCACAACCGACCCCATGTGCTGTAAGTGCCTGGCCTAACCCCGGCGAAGTAGTGACGAGGCTAGACAGGACCTACCAAAAATAACCTGTGCAGATATATAAGTTATTTTGGGGGCATGCTCGGGGAAAAATACAGTGAATACAGATCAACGAACATAACGACGAAACTACCTCAATACCATAGCTCATATATAAGTGGTCGGCGCGCCACACGATCCCATTTCTTAATTCATAAGTGGACGGCGTGCCACACGATCCCATTTCATAATATTTATATAAGTGGATGGCGTGCCACACGATCCCATATTATAGAATATATATAAGTGGACGGCGTGCCACACGATCCCATATTATAGTTCAAAATATCTGGCTTTGTAATGAAGGCCCCATTAGGGGAATTCGACAACATAACACTTTAACCCGGCTAGGGTACAGCTAACAGCCCAAATATCCCGGCAAGGGAGAGTACATAATAGTCTACACGTCCCGGCAAGGGAATAATCACAACACATCCTCTTTTAAATCACTTCTTTCTCAACTATCACATTCTTGTTCGATCCAACGCTCCAAAATATACAAATCACAATTCTTCCTCAACCGTTCACATTATATGAAATTTATCAATTAAACAAGGAAGTTGTGTCACATCATTCGAATTAAAAGCAATTAAGACTCACGGTCATGCTAGACTCCGATGCATAGACAACCGTCACCATGCCTATACACCGTATTCCACATTTAGCAAGTAGCAAATAACATCCTAATCCTATTCCCTCAAGCCAAAGTTAGAACAAACACTTACCTCAAATGCTCCAAACTCAACTCAATCCTCTAGTATAGCTTTACGCTTCAAATTCACCACCAAACCGCTCGAATCTAGTCACAAATTACTTGAGTGTATCAACAAAGGCTAATCTAATAAATTTGAATGCATGAAAAGTGAATTTCCCAAATTTTGTTCAAAAATCCCCAAAATGCCCCCGGTCCCACGTGGTCAAAACCCGAGGTTCGAACTAAAACCCGACTACCCAGTCCCCCACGAACTCAGATATATAAGTTATTTTGGAATCGGACCTCAAATTGAGGTCCAAAACTCCCAAATTTTGAAACCCTAGTTCTACCCTAAATTCCCAAATTCCCACATTAAAATCTTTGTTTTGAAGTTGAAATTATGTTTAAAGATGTTAAGAAGCAAAGAAAATAAGTTAGAAATCACTTACCAATCGTTTTGAAGGAGAAGAATCGTTTGGAAAATCGCCTCTTATGTTTTGGGTCTTCAAAAAGTGCAAAATGACTGAAAATCTCAGATTTATATACTTTGTTGAAGGACTGGCGCGCCGCGCAAAAATGCCCCGCGGCCGCGCCGAGGGAGGGAGGGAAAACAACTCTCTGAACCTACCCAGCGCGGACCGCACGATTTTGGTGCGCGGCCGCGCTGGTGTCTTGCACCTGGGGCCTTCTCTGAATCTCCCAGCGCGGACCGCACGAACTTGGTGCGCGGCCGCGCTGGTCAAACCAAGGCTGAGGACCCTCTGAATCTGGCCACGCGGACCGCGCGGACTGCACCGCGGCCGCGTGGCTTCTAGCGCGGACCGTGCGGGAATGACCGCGGCCGCGCTGGGGCCTGCAACACTGCAACATCTGTTACTTTAAGCCTAAGGCCTCCCGGGACCTACTCAAAAACTCACCCGAGCCCTCGGGGCTCCAAACTAAGCATACACACTAACTCAATAACATCCTGCGAACTCATCCGTGCGATCCAATCGCCAAAACAACATTGAAATCATGAAATTAGGCCTCAAGACCCATGATTTCCTCCCAATTTTCATAAGACATCAAGTTTAGAGTTTTTGTCCAAAACACGTCAAACGACGTCCAAATCTAACCAAACTTTACAGCAATTGCTTAAATCACATTTAAGACTTGTACCGGGCGTCGGAACCAAAATACGAGCCCGATACCACAGTCTTTTAATTAAATTTCACTTTCCAATTCCTTAATTATTTTCAGAAAACAATTTCACATAAAAATTCATTTCTCGGACTTGGGACCTCGGAATTGATTCCGGGCATACACCCAAGTCCCATATTTTCCTACGGACCCTCCGGGACCGTCAAATCACGGGTCCGGGTCCGTTTGCCCAAATCGTTGATCGAAGTCAAACTTAATCAATTTAAATAACAAGATTTAACAATTTTTTCTCACAAATGTCATATTTAAACTTTCCGGCTACGCGCCCGGACTGCGCACACAACTCAAGGCAACCCCAAATGAGGTTTCCAGGGACTTAGATGTACAGAGGGAGTAGGAACACAGGTGATGACCCTTTGGGTCGTCACATTCTCCACCTCTAAAACAACCGTTCGTCCTCGAACGGACAAAAGAAAGGAGTACCTGAGTCGGGGAAAAGATGGGGATAACGGCTCCGCATATCAGACTCGGACTCCCAGGTCGATGCCTCAGGAGGCTGACCTCTCCACTGAACACGAACAGAAGGAAAACTCTTGGATCTTAACTGACGAACCTGCCGGTCCAGAATAGCTACTGGCTCCTCCTCATAGGATAAGTCCTTGTCCAACTGGACAGTACTGAAATCTAACACGTGGGTAGGATCGTCGTGATACCTCCGAAGCATGGATACATGGAAAACTGGATGCACGGCTGATAAGCTGGGCGGCAACGCAAGTCTATAAGCCACCTCTCCCACTCGATCAACAATCTCAAACGGGCCAATGTACCTAGGGCTAAGCTTGCCCTTCTTCCCAAATCTCGGCACGCCCTTCATAGGCGACACTCGGAGCAATACCCGCTCACCAACCATGAAAGCTACATCTCGAACCTTACGGTCTGCATAACTCTTCTGCCTAGACTGAGCTGAACGAAGCCTCTCCTGAATGATCTTGACCTTGTCCAAGGCCTCCTGAACCAAATCCGTACCTATCAACCGAGCCTCTCCCGGCTCAAACCCATCCAACCGGAGACCGACATCGCCTACCATATAAAGCCTCATAAGGAGCCATCTGGATGCTCGACTGGTAGCTGTTGTTGTAAGCAAACTCCGCCAAAGGCAAGAACTGATCCCAGAACCTCCAAAGTCTATAACACAAGCTCGGAGCATATCCTCCAAAATCTGAATAGTCCGCTCGGACTGACCGTCCGTCTGGGGATGAAATGCTGTGCTCAAATCTACCCGTTTGCCCAACTCTCGCTGAACCGCTCTCCAGAAGCGTGAGGTAAACTGCGTACCCCGATCCGAAATGATAGACACGGGCACACCATGAAGGCGAACAATCTCCCGAATATAGATCTCAGCGAACCTCTTAGAAGAATAGGAGACTGCCACAGGAATGAAATGCGCTGACTTGGTCAGCCTATCAACAATAACCCATATCGCGTCAAACTTCTTCCGGGTCAACGGAAGTCCAGTAACGAAGTCCATAGTAATCCGCTCCCATTTCCACTCGGGAAGCTCAATCCTCTGATGTAAACCACCAGGCCTCTGATGCTCGTACTTAACCTGCTGACAATTCAAACAACGAGCCACATATGCTACGATATCCCTCTTCATCCTACGCCACCAATAATGCTGCCGCAAGTCCTGATACATCTTCGCGGCGCCCGGGTGAATAGAGTACCTGGAGCTATGGGCCTCCTCTAAAATCAACTCTCGAAGCCCATCCACATTGGGCACACAAACTTGCCCCTGCAATCTTAAAACTCCATCCGCATCTAAGGTAACCTGCTTGGCACCTCCTCGCCGCACCGTGTCTCTAAGGACACATAAATGGGGATCGTCAAACTGCCGATCACGGATACGCTCCAATAACGAAGAACGAGCAACCGTGCAAGCTAACACACGACTGGGCTCAGAAACATCCAGTCTCACGAACTGATTGGCTAAAGCCTGAACATCCAAAGCATGCGGCCTCTGATTGACTGGAAGATAAGCAAGACTGCCCATACTGGCTGACTTCCTACTCAAAGCGTCGGCCACCACATTGGCCTTCCCCGGACTGATATNCATCAGCTTTTAGCTCCTTCACAATGCGGTTCTTCAAGTAGAACGTTGCATCAGCGAAGTGTGACTCAGCCTCGGTGAATGGCTCGTCATCAGATATTATCTTTTTCTTGACTTCACCTTTGTAGTATTTCAAACATTGATTATAGGTTGATGGAACCACTTTATTCTCATGTATCCAAGGCCTTCCAAGCAAGACATTGTATGAAGTCTTTGCATCGATCACATGCAACCATGCACTTGATTGCATATCTTCAATGGTGATTCCCAACCTGATCGCACCTATGGCTCTTTGCCCCCCTTGGTTGAATCCTTGGATTATCACATGACTTTTCGAGAGTTCGTATATGGGGTATACCAATCTTCAAGGCGTGGACAATAGCCGCCAACTCTAAATCATGCACTGGATAGTTTTTCTCATGAATCTTCAACTGCCTCGAAGCATAGGCTATAACCTTGCCATCCTGTATCAATACTGCACCAAGTCCAATACGGGAAGCATCACAATAGACGGTATAAGGCCCAGATCCTGTGGGCAAGACCAACACCGGTGCCGTAGTCAGGGCTGTCTTGAGCTTCTGAAAGCTCGCCTCACACTCCTCCGACCATCTGAACCGGGCACCCTTCTGAGTCAACCTGGTCATCGGGGCTGCAATAGATGAAAACCCCTCCACAAACCGACAGTAGTAGCCTGCTAACCCTAAGAAACTCCGAATCTCCGTAGCTGATGCTGGTCTAGGCCAGTTCTTGACTGCCTCTATCTTCTTCGGGTCCACCTGAATACCCTCAGTTGATACAACGTGACCCAGAAATGCTACTGAACTCAGCCAGAACTCACACTTGGAGAATTTGGCATATAACTGACTATCCCTCAGAGTCTAACGAACTACTCTAAGGTGCTGCTCGTGCTCCTCCTGGCTGCGGGAGTACACCAAAATATCATCAATAAAGACTATCACGAACATGTCCAAATATGGCCTGAACACTCGGTTCATCAACTCCATGAATGCTGTTGGGGCATTGGTCAACCCAAACGACATGACCAAGAACTCGTAATGCCCATACCGAGTACGGAAAGCTGTCTTAGGGACATCGGATGCCCTAATCCTCAACTGGTGGTAGCCAGATCTCAAGTCAATCTTGGAAAATACCCTGGCACCCTGAAGCTGGTCGAACAAATCATCAATCCTCGGCAGTGGATACTTATTCTTAATCGTTACCTTATTAAATTGCCGGTAATCTATACACATCCTCATCGATCCGTCCTTCTTCTTGACAAATAACAATGGCGCGCCCCAACGCGAGACACTAGGTCTAACGAAACCCTTATCTAGCAAATCCTGCAACTGGTCTTTCAACTCCTTCAACTCCGGCGGAGCCATACGGTATGGCGGAATAGAAATGGGCTGGGTGCCCGGAGCCAAATCAATACAGAAATCGATGTCCCTATCGGGGGGCATACCCGGCAAGTCTGAAGGAAAAACATCGGGAAACTCCCGGACAATAGGCACAGAATCTATGGGAGGGATCTCGGCACTGGAATCGCGAACATAGGCCAAGTAGGCCAAACATCCATTCTTGACCATGCGTCGAGCCTTCACGTACGATATGACTCTACGGGTAGAATGACCTGGAGTCCCTCTCCACTCTAAGCGAGGCATACCCGGTAAAGCTAATGTCACAGTCTTGGCATGGCAGTCCAAGATAGCGTGATAGGGTGATAACCAATCCATACCCAGAATGATATCAAAGTCGACCATATCTAAGAGCAACAAGTCTACTCTGGTCTCAAGACCCCCAATCACTACAACACACGAACAATAGACTCGGTCAACCATGATAGAGTCACCCACCGGTGTAGACACATATACCGGAATACCCAAGGCATCACTAGGCATGACCAAGCATGGTGCGAAATAAGATGAAACATATGAATACGTAGATCCTGGATCAAATAGTACTGAAGCATCTCGATCACAAACCAGAACCGTACCTGTGATCACCGCATCTGAGGCCTCTGCCTCGGGCCTAGCCTAGAGTGCATAGCAACGGGGCTGGGCCCCACCACCATGAACTATATCCCTAGGTCGATTTGCTGCTAGCTGACCTCCGCCCCTGGCGGTCTGAGCTCCACCTCTATGGCCTCTACCTCTACCTCTATGGCCTCTACCTCCACCTCTAGCTGGCTGTGGAGCATCCGGTGCCTGAATCATAAGACGGGGACCCTGCTGCTGCGATTGAGTACCCCTCAATCTCGGGCAAGCTCTCCTGATGTGACCATATTCACCACACTCATAACACCCCTCTGAACGCTGTGGCTGACCCTGGCGACCTGAATGACCTCCACGGAAACTCTGAAGTGGCGGTGTGCTGATGGGAGCTGACGGTACACTGAGGGACTGCTGATCAGAATAATGCCCACGGAAACCACGATCACTTGGGGCACCCAGAGAAACCTGGAGGGCTGACTGGAAAGGCCTGGAGGGCTGACCTCTATCATAAGAATCTTGCCTCCAGATGAGGCACCACTGAAACGACCTGAGTGACGGGGTCTCTTGTCTGCACTATGGCTACCCCCTGTGCCAGAACCATCTCAACTCGGCGAGCCACATTGGCCGCCTCCTGAAAGCTGATCTCACTACCAGTCTCCCTAGCCATCTGGAGACGAATCGGCTGAATCAAACCATCAATAAATCTCCTCACTCTCTCCCTCTCAGTGGGGAGTATGACAAGAGCATGGCGAGCTAGATCGATAAACCGGGTCTCATACTGAGTGACCGTCATAGACCCTTGCTGGAGGCGCTTAAACTGCCTCCGATAAGCATCCCTCTAAGTAACGGGAAGAAACTTCTCCAGAAACAACTCTGAAAACTGATCCCAAGTCAAAGACAACGACCCCGCTAGTTTGGCTAAACAGAAATCCCTCCACCAAGTCTTGGCAAACCTAGATAAACGGAACGCAGAAAAATCAACTCCATTGGACTCCATAATGCCCATGTTCCGAAGAACCTCGTGGCAGCTATATAAGAAATCCTGGGGGTCCTCAGTAGAAGCACCCTTGAAAGTAGTAGTGAAGATCTTGGTGAACCTGTCCAACCTCCACAAAGCATCTGCGGACATAGCCGCGCCATCGCCGTTCTGAGAAACTACCTCCGGCTGAACCGCCACAGCTGGCTGAACCACCGAAATCTGACCCTGGGGAGCTACCTGCTCCGGAGTACGTGTAGCACGAGTTTGGGATCCTCCTCCACCCTGAGAAGTGGCTGGTGCTACAGGAAGCAATCCCGCTCGGGTGACGATCTCCATGAGGCCTACTAACCGGACCAAAGCGTCCTGAAGAACTGGGGTAGCTATAAACCCCTCTGGGACCTGAGTTGGGCCTACTGGCGCTGCTGGGACTGGGGCCGGAACCTCCTCATCAAAACCGACCTGAGGCTCCGCCGTTGGTGCTGCTGCTCGGGGCTGAGCTCTGCCCCTACCTCGGCCTCTAGCATGGCGTCATCCTCTGCCCCCAGCGAGAGCTACCTGGGGCTCAGACTACTGGTCTGTAGATGAGGAAGCGCGTGTTCTTGCCATCTGCGAGGAAACAGAGTAGAAGTTCAATTAGTATTGAGAAACCAAACCGCACGACAAGAAAGAACAAAGGAGAGATTTTTCCTAACTTGGCAGCCTCTGGGGGATAAGTACAGACGTCTCCGTACCGATCTCTCAGACTCTACTAAGCTTGTCCATGAGTTGTGAGACCTATGTAACCTAGTGCTCTGATACCAACTTGTCACGATCCGGATTTCCCACCCTCGAGGGTCGTGATGGCGCCTACTAATAGGAGCTAGGCAAGCCAACTTAATTAACAATTTCATTAAACACCTGTTCTTTTTTAACAATTAACGGCACTAAATAAAGGCGACGGAATTAAAATCATTAGCGAAAAACTTAAATTTAGATAACTGAATAAAATACAGAAATTCCAACATACGTCTCTACCCCGGGACTGGAGTCACATACTCATGAACATCTAAGGAGTACTACATACAAAGTCTGAAAGAACATAATCTGTTTATCTCGGGTACAATGAGATGACAGCCAAATGTAAAGATAGAAGAGAGACGTCGGGCCTGCGGACGCCTGCAAGCTACCTCGAGTCTCCCTGGACTGAAGGTTTGCCCCCGTGCTAATGCTGCTGCTGCTGCTCAAAACCTGGACCTGTGCAAAAATGCACAAAGTGTAGCATCAGCACAACTGACCCCATGTGCTGGTAAGTGTCTAGCCTAACCCCGGCGAAGTAGTGACGAGGCTAGACTGGACCCCACATAAACCTGTGCAATTATAAATATACAGCGGAAATCGAAGTACAAGGCAACTAACAGTATGGGAGGGGAAACATGCTGTGGGGAGATAACAATATTAACAGTAAATCCAAAGTAATCAATCTAGGTGCAATTTATAATTTTTGGCGAACAAGAAACTAATACCAACACTAAACACATTTGTATCAATAACTGTTGCGGCGTACAACCCGACCCTAATATATTTCAACGTTGTTGCGGCGTGCAACCCGATCCACAATTATCACTGTTGCGGCGTGCAACCCGATCCACAATTATCACTGTTGCGGCGTGCAACCCGATCCACAATTAACATTGTTGCGGCGCGAAACCCGATCCTCATATAACATTGTTGCGGCGCGCAACCCGATCCGTAATGTCTACCTCTCAACCTTGCCCAAGCAACAGTCACAAATAAAGGGCAAGGGAGTAAACAAGTATTTGGAAGGGAATCCCAACAAGGGTACACAAACAACCAATAACAACTATGTAAGGGTAAATCGTTATTTCTCTTTTTCTTTCATTTTCATATCCTAGTTCTCATTAGCACTCGTGTCAAGCTCCAAGGCATTTCTCATCTCATATTCTCTCACCATTTGTATTTCAGACCGAGTTAATGCTCCACGAAGTTCCACAATCACAATATCCTTCACAAGGTGTTTACAACGCATAGAAGCCATCAATTAAGCATGGAAGGCATAACAATATCCAAACAATCCACATNTTGCAGGCGTGCAACACGATCCCATTTCCTTACATCACGTGGTAGGCGTAACCACACGACTCCCATTACAATAATATCACGTGGTCGGCGTGCCACACGTTCCCATTTCATAATAACTCGTGGTCGGCGTGCCACACGATCCCATTTCATAATATCACGTGGTCGGCGTGCCACACGTTCCCATTTCATAATAACTCGTGGTCGGCGTGCCACATGATCCCATTTCATAATAACTCGTGGTCGGCGTGCCACCAATCCCATTTCATAATATCACGTGGTCGGCGTGCCACACGTTCCCATTTCATAATAACTCGTGGTCGGCGTGCCACACGATCCCATTTCTTTCAACACAATACACAACATAATCCCGGCAAGGGAGAAAGATGTTATAATAACTGTCCCGGCAAGGGAGAAATGTAATATAATAAACTATCCCGGCAAGGGAGATCCAGCTATAACCAAACTCATTCAATTTCTACTTAACACAATTAAATCCAAACTTAGTCTCAACAATTACTGGCTCAGTGTTAAGGATTTCTAACCAATTCCTCATAAATAACAATTACAAATTTGATAATTTAGCAAATTAGGACTCACGGTCATGCTCGACACCAGTGTATAGATACTCGTCACCATGCCTATACACCGTACTCGACAAATAGCAATTAGCAAATAAGACTCTACTCCTATTCCCTCAAGCCAAAGTTAGACCAAACACTTACCTCAACTTCCACGGCCAATACAATCCTCCACAATTGCTTTCCCTCTCGAATTCGGCTCCAACTCAACCAAATCTATGCAATAAGGACTTCATGTTATCAATATGTGCTAAACAAATCAAACCCAATGACTAATTATAGCTTTTTCATCAATTTACCCCCAAAGGTCAAAAATGCCCCCGGGCCCACATGGTCAAAACCCGAGGTTCGAACCAAAACCCGATTACCCATTCCCCCATGAACTCAAATATGTAAGTTATTTTGGAATCGGACCTCGAATTGAGGTCCAAAACCCCCAATTTTAGAAAACCTAGGTTCTACCCTAAATTCCCAATTTCCCCATTAAAATCTTTGTTTTGAAGTTTGAAATTATGTTTAAAGATGTTGAGTAAAGAAAATGAGTTAGAAATTCACCAATCGTTTTGGAGAAGAAGAATCGTTTGGAAAATCGCCTCTTGTGTTTTGGGTTTTGAAAAAGTGAAAAATAACTGAAAATCCCGACCTTATATACCCTTCTGAAGACTCAGCGCGGACCGCGCAAAAGTGCACCGCGGCCGCGCTGAGGAGCTGGAATTTCACACTCTCTGAACCCACCCAGCGCGGACCGCACTGATTTGGCATGCGGTCGCGCTGAGGGAATGGACTGAACCCCCCCCCCCCCAGTCTCTGAATCTTCCAGCGCGGACTGCACTGATTTGGAACGCGGCCGCGTTGGTTAACCTGGAAATACTGGCTCTCTGAACTTAGCCACGCGGACCGCGCATAGATGACCGTGGCCGCGCGGCTTCCACCGCAGCCGCGCAGCACGCACCGCGGACCGCGGGCGCGCTGGAGCCTGCAAATTCCCGAACCTTCAACATCTGATATTTTCTAAGTCTAAGACCTCCCGGGACCTACTCAAAAACTCACCCGAGCCCTCGGGGCTCCAAACCGAACATACACATAAACTCAAAAACATCCTACGGACTCATCCGTGCGATCAAATCGCCCAAACAACATCATAAACATCAAATTAGGCCTCAAGACCCATGATTTCCTTCCAATTTTTCATAAAACATCAAGTTTAGAGTTTTAAGTCCGAAACACGTCAATCGACGTCCAAATTCAACCAAACTTTACAGCAAGTGCTTAACCGTACATAAGACTTGTACCGGGCGTCGGAACCAAAATACGAGCCCGATACCACAGTCTTTTAATCAAATTTCACTTTCCAATTCCTTAATTATTTTCAGAAAACAATTTCACATAAAAATTTATTTCTCGAACTTGGGACCTCGGAATTGATTCCGGGCATACACCCAAGTCCCATATTTTCCTACGGACCCTCCGGGACCGTCAAATCATGAGTCCGGGTCCGTTTGCCCAAATCGTTGACCGAAGTCAAACTTAACCAATTTAAATAACAAGATTTAACATTTTTTTCTCACAAATGTCATATTTAAACTTTCCGGCTACGCACCCGGACTGCGCACACAACTCGAGGCAACCCCAAATGAGGTTTCCAGGGCCTCAAAAGTACAGAGGGAGTAGGAATACAGGTGATGACCCTTTGGGTCGTCACATGTACCGAGTTATTCTTCAACATAATTTCACTGTCCTAATATAACGCAACCCTAATTAGTCTCTCATTCATCATTGTTGGAAGATTCAAAAAAATAAAAGAATAAAGATGAATTATAAAGGAAGAATTTGTATCAAATACTGAAATATGAGTTTTCATGTAATATAGTTCGGTTTAAGTAGGGTTGCACGGATATGATTGAAAGTACATGAGAATTGTTAAAGATAAGGTTGGCATGAGGGGTGGACTACCTACAGCTCATGCCTGCCATACACTATAGGTAGGATGGTTCTTCCTTTTTCGGAAAATGGCCTAATTTTCCCCTCTACTTTTATTTATTGTTTAATCATGTACTTCGTTATACTTTTCGTTCAGATTTACCACTGCTATTCGTCAAAGTTATATATTTGCCCCTATTTTAATGACCAAGACATGTGGCGCCTTCTGAGGATTGAACCAACCCAACATTTTAAAAGAATCCAACCTAACTCGTTACCCATAACCGACCTGACCCTATTCGCCTCTTACTCTTTTTAAAAACAAATCACACACCCCCGCAACCAAACCTATCTACACACAACAAACACAACACAAACTCCGACAAGTCACCTACAGTTGTTTTGAGCAAATTCTGCTCTATCATGATTCTTCTATATGTCCAGATCTTACCTTACAAAAGCTTAAGTCCGGCAAAACATCGGCAGTCATGGAGGTTCTAGCAATTTTGGGTAAAATTTTCCATAAGTGAACCAATTAGTGATTTTTGTTTGCTAAAAATTTATTTGTTAGTGCTATAATGTCTACGAAGTGAAACCAATCTATGCTGGTTAACGGTAAAAACAACGAAAACAGAGATATTCAATGACTTTTCCAAGTTTTAAGACATAAAGATAGAATTTAGATTTGTGAAGAATTTTTACATTTTTGTTTGACTTAGAAGTACTTACATTTTGATTTAATTTTGTAAACAATATTAT